GCGCGACTTACTGGCTCTCCCCCGCCCCATCCTCCTCGGCCTCGGGCCCCTCTGCCTCGAGCCCGCGGGCGCGAGGGATCCGTGGGGCCCGTGCTCCGCCAGCTGGCCGGTAGCCCCGGCCAGCAGGGCGCACGGCAGGCTCGCGCCGCGACGGCGTCGGCGCTGGTCTGCGACGCCGCGCGGCTCGCTCGGCCCGCCCGGCAGGAGGGCTGCCTCCCTTCGGCTGCCCTGAGGGGCAATGCCAGCGGTGGGGGTACGCATAGGGGCGGGGAGGAGGAGGAGGAGGAGGAGGAGGAGGAGGAGGAGGAGGAGGAGGAGGAGGAGGAGGAGGAGCAGGAGCAGCAGGAGGAGGAGGAGGATGAATGGGATTGGGAATGGGAATGGGAACAGTACTTGGAGGAGGAGGAGGAGCAGAAGGAGCGAGCGATGGGCGGCTCTTCGATCGCCCGAGATCCTTCCACGCAACAGTGGCCGACATCCTGGGCCACGGGCGGCAACCCCGAGAGCGCCCGCGGCGGGGGGGCGCCGCCGCACCCACGAGGCGAGAGCCGGCTGCAACGTTGTGCAGTGGAGGACTCCATCGAGCGTTCCGTCGGGCCTGTCCCTCTACACGGGGAATGTTCGAACGTAGGCCCAAACATAGTACGGGGACGATTTTTTGGATCATGTTGGACCAGTGTTTGGCTTCTCTGTTTTTTTCCCTCCAGAGTCCGCCTGTAGAACACATGCCCGACCTAAATCAAGCGGGACCTCCAGCGAGCGGCGGACCAGAGAGCGCCCGTGGCTCCCCTGTGAACGACCACCTGCCAGACCACCCAGGCCCAACCTGAAAACCCGAATTTCGGGTTGGGCGGAGCTGCGGGTTCCACGTGTGTTTTTTCAATGTTCCCCGAGACCCCCCCGCTGGGAATCAGGGGCAAATTGGGACCTTCGGGTCGGGGGCCCCGGGCCGACCGAACCCAAGCATGCAAAACGCTGCTATCGCACCGCGGTCAACGATCGGGGGGCCCCGGTGGGCCCGCCTCGAAGGTCACTCCGGCGAAGAGCCACCCTCGTGTAGCCGATGAAGGCGAATCCGCTCAGAGTCGGTCCCAGGACCCCTCCCGGGGCCCTTCTGGTGTAGTTTTTCACCCTGGATTTGTTCGTGAGGGTCCGGGTGTCCGAAAACAGCCCACAAAGGCCGAAGAAGGCATTGAGCAGGGACCGACCGTCCCGGCATTCCTGTAGTCCTGCCACGAAATGTTCTTAGAACCCAAAGATGTTCTAAAAACAAAAGCAACGTTCTGAGAACATAAGCCCGATGTTGTGAAACAAGACAGGCTCCGCCAGAAATGTTCTAAGAACATTTCGTGGGAACCACAAGCGGCTCTTCGAACGTTGCATGGTTTGGTAGGGCTATAGGCGAGCCAGGACGCTTCGCCACTGCTTGAAGGTCGTTCGAGCAGGGACCCACCGTCCCGGCATTCCTATAGTCATACCACGAAATGTTCTTAGAACCCAAAAGTGTTCTAAGAACAACAGCAGTGTTCTGAGAACATAAGCCCGATGTGATAAAACAAGACAGGCTCCGCCAGACATGTTCTAAGAACATTTCGTGGGAACCACAAGCGGCTCTTCGAACGTTGCATGGTTTGGTAGGGCTATAGGCGAGCCAGGACGCTTCGCCACTGCTTGAAGGTCGTTCGAGCAGGGACCCACCGTCCCGGCATTCCTATAGTCATACCACGAAATGTTCTTAGAACCCAAAAGTGTTCTAAGAACAACAGCAGTGTTCTGAGAACATAAGCCCGATGTGATAAAACAAGACAGGCTCCGCCAGACATGTTCTAAGAACATTTCGTGGGAACCACAAGCGGCTCTTCGAACGTTGCATGGTTTGGTAGGGCTATAGGCGAGCCAGGACGCTTCGCCACTGCTTGAAGGTCGTTCGAGCAGGGACCCACCGTCCCGGCATTCCTATAGTCATACCACGAAATGTTCTTAGAACCCAAAAGTGTTCTAAGAACAACAGCAGTGTTCTGAGAACATAAGCCCGATGTGATAAAACAAGGCAGGCTCCGCCAGAAATGTTCTCTAAGAACACTTCGTGGGAACCACAAGCGGCTCTTCGAACGTTGCATGGTTTGGTAGGACTACAGGCGAGCCAGGAGACGCTTCGCCACTGCTGGAAGGTCGTACGACTCTCCGAGCCCAGCGCCCCGAACAAATGCCCTCCTGCCCTGCTGGCCAGGGCCAGCACTGGGCCACCTCAGACTCTCAGACGGCTCCAACAAAAGGAAGAGCACTCGGAAAGATCGGCGCTGGACAAACCTCCCTTTAGCAGACCTCCCCTCAGTGAAAACGGCCTGGGACCGAAACCGACGGACCTGGACCCGCAAAAAATGACGGCCGCGACGCCCTCCCGCGAACCCAAAACCAAAACAGCCAATTCACTAATCGACGTGTCAGGGCAGGAGGTCTGTCCAACCCCGAAAAGAGGCTGCAGGCCCACCGAAGGGGCCGGCGCCCAGCCCGGCGCGGCGCAGGCCGGCTCGGGCCCCGGGAGAGCCCAGCATATTCGTGTCCCGACGACGGACCTGCTGCAGGAAGCGGTGGCCCTCCTCGAGAGGTGGGAGCGAGATGCTACTCTCGCCATCGCTCGGACGTCCATTTTTTGCTCGATGGTCCAGGAATGTCCAGGATGGTCCACGCCGAGGAAAAAATGCACACGTCCGAGCGATGCCAGGTACTGGTGAGTGACGTCCCGCCCCCCGCCCTGCGGAGGACGACGGCGGCAAGCACATCCCAGTTCAGTGCACCCAGGCCGAGGAGTGGGGCGGTGCCGCGGCCCCCCCGTGGGCGACGGCGGAGGCCGCGGGGCGTGGCGGACCGCGGCTGACGTGGTTTGCCTGATGCAGGCCTTTCCCGCCCAAGCTCACCAGTTCGCCCCCGAGTTTGCGTTGGTAGGAACGTTCGGTTGACAGGTGCTTCCAGCATGGATGCGATGCTCGTGGTGGGCCAGTTCGTGGTACGCAGCGGCTGCTCGGTCGACGACACCACTGCCCTGGAGTGCGGCGACGCAGGCTTCTTTTCGACGGAAGCCTTTCGGAGCCATGGTGCGCGCGGAAAGAAGAGAATGTGACACGCATCGGTCCTGTGCGATGGATACGGTTAATCTCACTGGGCTGGACGGCGCAGAACGTTACGTGTCTTCGCTACGCTCTGAACGCCCAACGATCTCGAGCCGACACTGCATCGCGGAGAAGAGAGTGCAGTCAACCCGTGTGATGAGGATGCGCGGTAAGGACGCAAGGGCCTTCTAGAGCCATGTCAACGTGCTTCGAACAAGGTTGGCCAGCGAAAGTCGCTAAGGATGGGCCGAAGTGACAAGGATGTCAGGGTAACCTTGGAAAGCTGCTTATCTTTATTAAGCATAATGACTGTAGAGGAAATGGAGGTCGCGGAGAGATCCGCCCTCTCCTTCTCCATCTCGATCTCTTTCCCCCTTCCGACTCTCTCGTCCTCCTCCAGCTAGTCCTCCTCTCTCCTCTCTCGCCCTACTTGTCCTGCCATTTCATCGCCTCATGATCCTCCTTCTCTGCCCTCTCCTCCTCCTCCTCCTTATCATAATCATCCTCTTCTCCCCCTCTCTCTCACTCTCGCTCACACTGTCTGTCGGTCTGTCTGTCTGCCTGCCTGCAAGCCTGCCTGCCTGCCTGCCTGCCTGCCTGCCTGTCTGTCTGTCTGTCTGTCTGTCTGTCTGTCTGTCTGTCTGTCGGTCTATCTGTCCGTCTATCTGTCTGTCAGACAGACAGACACCAAACATTTAAGCAAAACATTAATGTTCTTGAGCCAATGGCGGCGGCAAAAAAACGGCAAAAAAACACCAATGTTTTGACGCGCGCCGGAAACACAAAAAAACAACGCTTTGCTCAAAAGCGCCCCTCCCCATGAAGCAGTTTTGTGGACCCGCAGAACGGCTGCAACAAGCGATGCGACAACGGCTGCGACAAGCCATGGGGCGCCGAACCGGAAAAGTGCAATTCTGCATGATATCGGGGAAGCAAGAAAACGGCAAAAATGCGGCAATTGTAACGACAAGCAGGCCATGGGCGCGCATCAATGTTGCGGGGACCTCGCGATAATCGGTACGGGGGCATACGCCAACCAAAAAAACAATCCAACGGCAAAACTGCAACAATGTCGTTGATGCGATGTCTGTAGCAGGCAGGCCCGTGCTAAGTCTGTCTGTCTGTCTGTCTGGCTGTCTGTCTGTCTGTCGGTCTCTCGCTCTCTCTCTCTCTCTCTCTCTCTCTCTCTCTCCAGGCGAAAGAGAAAGATAGAGAGAGAGAGTGAGAGAAAGACCTTCGTGAACGTCCGTCTCTGTCAGCAGGGAGAGAAGGAGCAGCAGACGGGGAGGACGCCCCAGGAACGTGATGTCTAAGCCTCCTCGCGTTGTGAATAATTCAGGATGGAACGTTCGTGGCTGTCTTCGGCTTGCGGGGGCCCCGATCGGGCCCCGCGGCAAATCAAACAACGACCAGGGACGAAAAGCCGGCGCAGGGGACGGGGTCCAGACCTCGGGGGGTCCACGTTGTAAACAAAAGCGCGACCTTGGAGTCTTGGGGAGGAAGGGGGAACAAAAGAGAGAGAGAGAGAGAGAGAAAACAAACAGGAAAAGATGGAGAAAGAGAGAGAGAGAGAGAGAGAGAGAGCGGGAAAGAGAGAGAGAGAGAGAGAGAAAGAAAGAGAGAGAACCGCAAGGCCCCCCTCCACCCCGAGAGCGCCGGCGTCGTCCTGGGGGTCCTGCAGCACGTCCTCGAGGCCACCAGCTATGCATGCGTCCAGGAACACCATGTTGTACCGGAACTCCTGGGGAGGGGGGGGAACGAGGAGGAGGCCCTCCTGGAGAGGGGGGGAGGGACGACGAGGAATGATACGCTTTGGGATTCAGCCCACCAAGAATGAGGTAAGAAACTGTCCTTCCTTGAAGTAGGACTGCGCACAACATAGGCTGAGAAATGGGAGTCCGAACGTATATTGTCTACTTCAAAGAAAAACCTGTGCGCCTTTTCCTCCTTATCACTCCCGGCCTTTTCTCCTTTTTTGTCCTTCCCTTTCCCTCTTCCTCTGTCCCCCCCCCTCCCCTGCCTCCATCGTCCGTTCCTTGTTCCATCCCTCTCCTCTTTTCCGTTCGACACCCCTCCTTCCATCTTTCCCCATCACCGTCAGCATCATCAACGTTTCAGCATTGCTGTCAGCGTGTTCGCCGTCGTCATCCTCATTCGAATACTCCCGCTGGCGCACACCCTGTCGTTGCCCAGAAGATTTAGCCCCACCTGCCCGTCCAAGGCGACAACACAACACACATTCGACCGAACCGGTAACGACACCGAAACGAAACACCGACCGACGCTGGCAGGCCGCCCGCAAACCAGATGGGGGCAGCGGCGCAGCAGCGGCACGACAGACGACCGAACCGACCGATTCACCGAACGCAGCTGACTGCGACGCAGCCCCCCCCCACCACCCCGCTGTGTGGCAATGCGCCTCCCCGGTCAGGAAGAGGGGAGAGAAGACTCGCCATCGCTCGGGGGTCCATTGTGGACGATTTCTTTTTCGGCATTCGAACTTTGGGCGGGAGGGGGGGAAGGAGGGGGCTTTGGCTCTGGACCGTTGCTTCATGCAACTGATTGTAATAACGCGTCCTACGGGGAGACCCCACCTGTTTGAAATAGGCGCCCGGAACAGCCAAGATCTGCTCCATGGGGGGGGAGGGGGGGTGCGAGGGCCCGCGCAAATCGGCAAAACCACGAATAAAACAACGATCCCATTCCCCGTGCACTAGTCGATTTCGTGCGGTGCGTTTTGTTGTTGTTGTTGCTGCTGCTGCTGCTGTTGTTGTTGTTGCTGCTGCTGCTGTTGCTGTTGCTGTTGCTGTTGTTGTTGTGGTTGTTGCTGAATGTTAAGTACTAAACAATTATAAATGTTGGACTCCTTACAGGCGCCCTGGCGCCCTCGCCGAGGCGCCAGCTGCATTTTCGTTTGCAGTGAAGCTCGCTCTCAAATAGTATTGGGGGCCGCCAAAACCGGCCCCCAAACAACAACAACGCCCACGTTCGAGACTTCCTCTCCTTCTAATCAGGGCCGGCGCTCTTGCTCGCCGCCGGAAGCAGCCGTTTCAACAGAACCAGCGTCCCGCTCGAGATTTCCCCCCGTTTTACCTTGGACAGGCGCGCTACTCTTTCTCTCATCGGCGCCGCCCCCCGGCGACAACAACGCCCCCGCTCGAGGCTCCCTCCTTTTTTACTCAAGGCGGTGCTCTTGCTCGCCGCCGACAGCCCCCGCCCCGACAAAACCAGCGCTCCCGCCCGAGACTTCCTCCCGTTTTACGCTGGACTGGCGCCCTCCCCTTCCTTCTCCTCCTCCACGTCCTCGTCGTCCTCGTCATCCTCGTCGTCCTCGTCGTCCTGGTCCTCCTCCTCCCTCACCTCTTCCTTTTCCTCCGCCTCCTTTTCCTCCGCCTCCTTTTCCTTCTCCTCCTCCCTCGTCCCCCCTCTCTCTTCCTCCCTTTCCCCCCCCTCTTCCTGTCCTCCTCTTTCCTCCCCGTCCCGCCCCTCTTTCCTCCCCACGCCTTTCCCTCGTCGCCCCCCTCGTCTCCCCCCTCCTCCTGCTCCCCCCCCCATTCCTCCCTGCGCCTTCCGTCCTCCCTCGTCGCTCCCGTTTGATACTTTGTCCCCCTTTACTCGAGACTGGGGCCCTCATTTTGGCATCGCTTCTGGAAAGGGGGCCCGGGAGTGCCCGGCGAACCTCAAGCATTAAATAACTATCATTTTTTGGGGGCGCAGATAACGCGGATGGGGGGGGGGGGGAAGGGGGCCGGATGACTTCCAGGGAGGGGCTCCAGGGATCGAGGGTCGAAGGGTTGACTTCGCGGATTCTGTGTGTGTGTGTGTGTGTGTGTGTGTGTGTGTGTGTGTGTGTGTGTGTGTGTGTGTGTGTGCGTGCGTGCGTGCGTGCGTGCGTGCGTGTGTGTGTGTGTGTGTGTGTGTGTGTGTGTGTGTGTGTGTCTGTGTGTGTGTGTGTGTGTGTGTGTTTGTGTGTGCGTGTGGGGGGGCAGGTGGAGGATGCGAGCGCGGGGGCGGCGGCGCCTGGGGGCGTGAACGTTCAATGCCACGCGCCGAGGCCGCGGGGTGGCGGCGCAGCACTTCGAGCGAGGAGTAAGAACCACATCGTCCCCAGAGGTATTGCTGCTACAACTACTCCTCCTTCCTCCCCTTCCTCCTCCTACTCCTCCTCCTCCCCCTCCTCCTCCTCCTCCTCCTTTTCCCTCCTCCTCCTCTCCCTCTTCTCCCTCAGCATCCCTCCCCTCCTCGTCCTCTTCCTCCTCCTCCGGAATGCGGGGCGTGCGCGAGGCGATTGCGATGGCGATGTGCCGTCCGAGCTGTGGATGTCGAAGTTCCTCGGACCAGGTGGTGGCAAAGCTTACTTGGACGGGAGATCTGGGTGAGGGAATATCGGACCCCGCGTGCCACAATGGTCCCCCATGGTGGGGTGTGGTACCCAGAAGGATGCATGTGACATGTGGAAGCATGGCGCATGATGGTAAACTGATTGTTGTTGTTGTTGTTGGTATTGTTGTTGATATTGTTATTGTTGATGTTGTTGTTGTTGTTGTTGGTGTTGTTGTTCTTGTTGTTGTTTCGCGGGATGATCCGCGGGGTGCTCCTCGACAGTCTCCGCCGAGATAAACAAAAACACGCGCCGACGCGGGCGATGCCGAGACGAGGGTGAAACGGGAGGGCCACCGACGCGGACCCGCCGGCGGCGCAGGGCGCGCAAGCGGCTCCCCTCGGACCCGGGCTCTTGGCCCTCTGCCCCCGGCTTGTGGCGGCGCGGGCGTGCAGGCAGGGAAGGAAGGGGGGGACAGAGCGCACCTCTCGAGCAGGGTATCGGCCAACAAACCTACTTGTCTACCCCAAAATCGCCCTGTTCGCCGAATCTTCGAAAACAAACGTATAATCTTTGCAGATCTCCAAAGATTACACGTACGTGTTTGCACATTCGACGAACATATTCGAATTAGGGGTAAATGAATCATGTATGTAGTCGATCCCCTACAGGAATCTTGGGCGGCGCGCCAGGGGGGAAATGAGAAGAGGCGGGCCTTCTCACAAAGCTCGGACATCTCCCGGCCTCCAGAGAAGTTTTTCCAGCGTTCCCGTAAAGCATGGAGCACTTCTCAGAAAACGCGAGGGTTTCCGAGAAGTCCCGCCGCCTACTGAAAAAAGGCACTCTCCTTCTCACATCCCTCCCTCGTTCGCCGCCGACACCTGCAACCCACAATTGGGAGACCCCAGCCCCACCCAAGACCTCCCACGGCGAAAAATGTTTTCACCGCGTGGGCCCCCGCCCCCCCGACGCCTAAACCGCTCCCCGGGGCTGGTCGTTCATCCCGGGCTGTTTTTGCTGATGGTAGTGCCTCTGAGAGGCACCGCGCGGGCGCGGCGGTAGCGTGTTGGAATGCAAATCGGCCCTCTGGCAAGGTGGTTTCTTGATTCCTTTGAGCCGGCTGTGGGCAAACCTCCCTTTAGTAAGCCACCCTCTAGTGAAAACGGCCTAAAACCGAAACCGACGGACCTGGACCCGCAAAAATGACGGCCGCGACGCCCCCCCGCGAACCGAAAACGGCCAATTCGCGAATCGACGTGTCAGGGTAGGAGGAAGTCGATCAACCTCCGTATGAGGAGCCCCCACCCCCTTTTAGTCGCGCGAGCTGCATGCGTCGCCCCCCTTCTCCCGAGGAGGGCCCTGCCCCTCGGAGCCAAAAGTTACCCACCGCGCGGAGCTCCCCATCTGTGCATCACATGTTTTATGCCATGCCATAGCAAACGTCAGTTCATGAGCGCTTGACTATAATAGCGCGTCCACACGGGCGACAGGGCCGACGCGCGACATCAGCACGACCCAACGGACCAGCACGCCTCGACTCCTTCCCCCGTGCGTCCCAGACGGTACGTGCCGGAGCGCGACCCAAGGGAGCAACACGCCTCATCTCCTTCCTCGCAGCATGAAAGCGAGCAAACCGCCTGAAACATCCCCGTTAAATGGCCGCGAACGGGCCCGTGTCCTACCCCCTGGCGGCTCTCCTTACGGATGCTGACTGAAACCAGCGCCCCGCCAGAGACATCCTCAAACTCTGCTCTGGAAGCCAAGGATGTTGGGCATGAAAACAAGCAAACCGCCTCAGGCATCCCCACAACTGGCCACGCCGTGCCCGTGTCCTACCCCTTGGCGGCTCTCCTTAGGGGTGCTGAAACCAGCGCCCCGCCTGAGGCACCTTCCGAATCTGCTCCGAAAACCAAAAATGTTGGGCATGAAACCAGCAAACCGCCAGAGACATCCCCACAAACTGGCCACGAACGGGCCCGTGAAAACATCCATGGTGGCTCCCGTGAGGGGTGCTGAAACCAGCGCCCCGCCTGAGACATCCTCACACTCTGCTCCGAAAACAAAGGATGTTGGGCATAAAAACCAGCAAACCGCCTGAGACATTCCCACAACCTGGCCGCGAACGGGCCCGTGAGAACACTCCTGGCGGCTCGCCTAAGGGGTGCTGAAACCAGCGCCCCGCCTGAGACATCCTCCTCCAAATCTGATTCGTCAGCCAAGAATGTTGGGCATGAAAACAAGCAAACCGCCCCAGACATCCCCACGAACTGGCCGCGAACGGGCCCGTGAAAACATCCCTGGCGGCTCTCCTTAGGGGTGCTGAAACCAGCGCCCCGCCTGAGACATCCTCACAATTTGCTCCGAAAACAAAGAATGTTGGGCATGAAAGCGAGCAAACCGATTGAGACATCCCCACAAACTGGCTGCGAGCGGGCCCGTGAAAACACTCCTGGCGGCTCCCCTTAGGGTGCTGAAACCAGCGCCCCGCCTGAGACATCCTCAACATCTGCTCTGAAAGCAAAGGGTGTTGGGCATGACAACCAGCAAACCGCCTGAGACATCCGCACAAACTGGCCGCGAACGGGCCCGTGAAAACACCCCTGGCGGCTCCCCTTGCGAGTCTGAGTATGACTAGGTCTGAATATTGAGTAGGTCTCAGTCCGTGCGTTGAGTAACTCAGACTATGAGAAAGTCTGAGTATGTGTAGGTCTGAGTATGAGTAAGTCTGTGTGTGAGCAGGTCTGGGAACGAGTCTGGGTATGAGTAAGTCTGGGTATGAGTAAGTCTGGGAATGAAGGAGTCCCAGCATGAGTAAGTCTGAGTATGAGTAGGCCTGCATGTAGTGTGTTGAGTGAGTCAGACCATGAGAAGGTATGAGTATGAGTAGGTCTGAGTATGCGTAAGTCTGTGTATGAGTAGGTGTGTTCTCTCTGGAGTCGGCGGCGTCCGAGTAATAACAAGAACCCCATCTTCGGATATGGGGAAAAAACAGTGGGTCCACCCGTCCGAGGCCACTCTCTCCAACAAAAGCAAATTGGGTCCACGCCCTCGAGGCCAAGATGGCCCAGGATGGTGCCTCCCACGCCAGGGCTGGATGAAAACGTTGTGTTGCTTGATTTCGGCTGTGTTTTGTTTTTCGTCTGGCAAGGAGGTGCGTGAAAGCATGCATGGCAAACGAACAACAAGACGAAACCAAAACGGAAAACAGCGTCCAGGTCCAGCCCTGTCCCACACAGCGCAAGCTGGCCTCAGACGTGGCCCCATGTGGCCTCTGGACGGCCCCAGAAGGCCCGAAATCCCTTCTCCCGAGGATCTACAGTCGGGATTGATTGGATAGGACACGCGATAGGACGCAAGACCCTTCCGAGGGCCACATTGCCATAGGAATGTAGGAGGCACGGGTCGCGACACACAGGGCACAAGGGTACCCTTGATTGGCAGGGTCGACCTACTAATCGACCTCGACTGCATCTCTGGGCCCCCGAAACAGCCCCCCCCCGAGCCCCTTCCACCGCACGCCCGGCCCCTGGCACGGCGGCGGAGTTGCCGAAGGCAGCTGGCTGCATCGCGGAGAACCTCCAATAGACAAGCGCGTCCCACTACAGGATGCGGCCTGACCTAAGAAACGATAAATAAAGAACGAAGCCTCTTTTTTCAAGTCAGTTTGCGAAGTCCGAACGAACGGCCGACCCCCTTTCTAGCGACTCTCATCGACAAAACGAACCCGCGCGTCCAAAATCTCAAGGAACACCAGGGGGCTCGCCGCCAAAAAGGCAGCGGAACGCATGCAAACTAAAGGAACGACCGAGCCCCTTTTGAAAAGTGAGTGCTCCTTATTCAAGCCACACCCCGTACTCGTAAAATAGCTACTCGCAATTGGCCTCGATTCGCTGTCGGGGATCTACGATATATTACATCGAGGCGAACACAGAAAGCTCTCGGGCATTTGTGGGTAGGCACTTTGCGAGTAGTGGAGCGCGCTCGGTGATCCAAGCAATCGCGCGATCTTTTCACGTTGGGGGTCTCGGACCAGAGTGCGACAGATCATCGTGCCAGGCAAGCAGTGGTCCAGCCAAATCATCATCTGTTGCGCGGGGCGAGGGCGGAGGAGGGACACGGAGGAGGTCGTTGCGCGGGGGAAGAGAGGAGGAGGGACAAGGAGGAATCCCTCGCCTAGTGCCACTGCCTACACCTGTGCCCTTCCCGCCGTGCCACCCGCTCCACTCTGAGCCCCTCTCCTCTTCCGCAGACTTCCCTGCGCCCGGCGTGGGCACCCCAAAGACCCCCCAACGCAACAGCACAACCATGATGAACTTTCGGCGGTCCTGGTGGATTCCTTGCCTTGGCGCTGGGCCCCTTTTCCGGGGACGCACTGACCCGGGTCAGTGCAAACCCGGGCCAAGCAGGCTTTGCGGGGGATCCTGCGACGTCCTGCAAGAGTATGCAAGAGCCCGCGCGCCAGTCTGGGTCAATGCACCCCTGGCGCTGCAAAATCCTGCAAAATCTGGCGCTCTGGCTGGCTCCGTTTGCATCGCCCCCCGCCCCTCGGAGCTCCATCTCTCCGGAGCGCGGAGCGCGCCCGGGGCGGGACTGGAGAGGCCACCGCGAGTTGTGGTTCGCGGCGCTCCTGTGGACACCGACCGATCCACGTCTCCCTCCCGCACCTCACTGCACCGACCCTGCAGACGTGCTGCAGAGGATTTCTGCGTGAATTTCGCGTGGATGTTTTTGGAATCGTCACTCCTGGCCCAAAAACTTCCGCAGGAAGTTCACTTCGAAATCCGGGACGAGGTTTCCCAGGACACGCTGGGCCCATTCGATCGTTCTCCGAACCGAAATCCGCCCTGCGATGTTGGCGCCATGACGCATGTGACGCGTCCTCGGGTATCAGGGGCGCCAGCGAGGCCACGAAATCCTCCCCGTCCACGTTGTCCGCCGGTCCCCGCTGGCCGCTCGCCGAGGGGCGACGGGGCGCTGTGGGGGCCAAGAGCAGGGACAAAAACGGTAGAGGAAGCACGCGTCGACGAGGTGAGGAAGAGTACGCGTAGGTAGTGGGAGGAAGGTGTGGAAGAGGGAGGGGGAGGAACGTGTGGAAGAGGAACGTGTGGAAGAGGAGGGGATGAGGAGGGAAAGAGGAAAACAGGAGGAGGACAGGAGGAGGATGAGGATGAGGAGGAAGAGGAGGAGGAGAAGGGGAGGGGTGGGGCAGCAATGAGATGAGGACGGGGCACAAGCGAGGTGGGGGCGGGGGGAAGAGGACGCAGTCGACAAAGGTAAAGGGGTGATGCGAAGGAAGGACAAGGGAGGAGGAGGAGCAGGAGGGGGAGGAAGATCACGAGGAGGATGATTCAGATGGGGAAGAGGTGTGGGAGGGTAGGACCACGAACGATGAGAAATCAGGAGGAGTATGAAGATGCCCCGCTTTTTTCCACATGGCCAGGCAATGTTCTCGACGCGGCGCAGCCGGTCTGCGCAGCATGACGCGGGCAGGCGGCGAGATAGTTCCGCCAGGGCTCTGCCTAACACAGGCCATCAACCACCAGTATCTGCGACCTGGCAGCTGAGGCGGCCTCTCCCCTCTTTCATCTCTTCGTATGAGAGGACGTCTCGAGTACGCTGAGAGCGCAGGAAGGGCGCAAGGCTCTCAGGGAATGGCTTGGCTACCTGGCCCAGAAGATCCCACTGGGGGCTTTGTCTTCCAGCGCCCAGTGCTTTGGGGAGAGAAAATGCGCGCACAAACACACACACACATCACACACCACACACCACACACCCCACGCACCACACCCCACAGCCCACACACCACACACCACACACCATACACCACCCACCACACCCACCACACCCACCACACACACACCACACACACTACACACACCACACACCACACACAACACACAACACACAACACACACACACCACACACAGCACACACACACCGCACACCGACACACACACACACACAACACACACAGACACATAGACACACAGACACACGCACACATTACACATTCACACATTCACATATTCACACATTCGCACCTTCACACACCACACATTCACGCATTCACACATTCACATATTCACACATTCACGCATTCACACATTCACACATTCACACATTCACACATTCACACATTCACACATTCACGCATTCTCGCATTCACGCATTCACACATTCAAACATTCACACATTCAAGCGTTCACGCATTCACGCATTTACACCTTCACACATTCACACTTTCACACATTCATTCACACACACACACACACACACCCGCGCGCACGCGCGCGCACGCACGCACGCACGCACGCCTGCACCCGTACGCACACACACAAAAACAACAACTCGCGCCTAAAGAGGAGACAGCGGGCATACGGAACATTACTGCCAGTACACAATCTTTGTGGCCTTGCGCCACTGCGCTCCAACACGGCGGTGCACGGCATGCAGGTTGCAGGGGTGCAAGTCTGGGCGGATTGGGGTCGAGCGAACCATCCTTGGGTATCGATTGCAATTTTCTCGTCCTCGCCATCTGGCTGGTGAGACAGTGGCGGATGCCCCCCTCGCATTTTCCTGTCTGTAGCCTCGCCCGTATGCTATTGTAGTTGGACTGCGACATCCAGAATCCACTAGCCCACCAATGGTTATTTGAACCTTCTTCAAACAATCTCCGCAACCATGGCGAACGTGAATTATGCATCCGGACAAAAGGCCCGCTTCAGCGCGCCCTCCAATTTGCACGTGGCCCCGCCGCTGGTCAAAATATAGGGCATGCCTCCAGGATGCCGCTTAGGCCTAAGCGGACCCCCTGGAGACCGCAGGGTCCCTGGACCGAGCGAGCTGATCACCTCCCCTCCGAGGCAACACTCCCTCTTGAATATCCAAGCTCAACTTCGAAATCGCAGTACGTACGAAGTTCCACTACGTCCCGCTTCAGGAGCCCCTGCACGAGAGGCACGTGCTCCCCCTCTTGCCGAACGGAACGCCCTGTCCCTGTCAGCGTCCGTGCTGACAGGGGGCGTTGCCTCAAGGCGACATTTCAGAAAACGTTAACAATCGACCCGTTCCGAACGACCGCATCGCGGGCGGCTCCAGGCGGGAAGCGTCGAGCCCGCGTCGCCCTCTTGGTCACCGTCGGGGGCCCGACAGCCAGCCCCCCTGGGCCGGAGGAGGAGGAGGAGGAGGAGGAGGAGGAGGAGGAGGAGGAGGAGGAGGAGGAGGAGGAGGAGGAGGAGGAGGAGGAGGAGGAGGAGGAGGAGGAGGGGAGGAGGAGGAGGAGAGGAGGAGGAAGAGATGAGGAGGAGGAGGAGCAGGAGCAGGAGGAGGAGGAGGAGGCGTTTGAGGAGGACATGGAGCCCGCAGAATCTGGCCACGCACGGCGCAAGCACAAAGGTCCTGCGACACGCAGTCCAGAGACTCGGGGCTGCGTGCCTGAGCCTTCTACCCCTGGAGAAGGAAGAGGCCGAGGAAGAGGGGAAGGAGGAAGAGGGGGGGGGAGAGGAGGAGGAGGAGAGGACGAGGGGGAGGCGGAGGAGGAGGAGGAGGAGTATGAGGACGAGGAGGAGGAGGAGCATGAGCATGAGCATGACCAAAAGACGATGTCTTGAAGAGAAGCCCTCTCCCCTGTTCAGAGACCGGACGAGACGAGGAAGCCCCACAGCGCGAACTATACGAAATACATGAACTGACAAACTGGGAATCTCACCAATCTTGTGTGTCGCGGTGTCAACCGAAACTGTGACACACCCAGTGCACACTCAGGCCCGAAATATACACCGTGGCAGCGCTGACAGGATTGTGACTTCACCATTATTGCAGGTCCCTCGATACACAACACAAGCTGCCAGACCAAATAATACCCACTGAATGCTGTGAGACGCCGCGCCCGACGACTGCCGAACAAGCAAGAAAACGGTGAGCATGACAGCACTTTGTACGCTCCCTTGATGAACAATAAGCACCAGAACTGACAGCCCACCACAAAATTTTAAAAAATTGCACCAACCACCAGAGATACAACATACCCTCCCCAGGCGGATATGGGATATGCCAACATGGTAGCTGATGACGCCCGGGCACCGGCACTTTCGCCTCGCCCTTAGCCGACCCACGTCCCGTTGGAAATTCCAGAGCTGCGGGTAGCCCCAAGCACGCCGCGAGGAGGCGACGAGGCAGGACCCATGGCGCGTTTGAGCCAAAAAGGGATCAACGCGCCTTGGGCCCCATGTGCTTGAGGAGGAGGAGGAGGAGGAGGAGGAGGAGGAGGAGGAGGAGGAGGAGGAGCAGAGGACGAGGGGGAGGAGGAGGAGGAGGAAGAGGAGAGGACGAGGGGGAGGAGGAGGAGGATGAGGAGGAACAGGAGGAGGGAAGGCTGGAAGCCTACCTATGACCAGGTCATGCAGGCCAGCGGCGACCAGCTGCACGACTGGAGCGCCGAGGCCAGCAGGATTTCGGAGTCGCTGGAGAGGGCGTTCAGCTCCGAGCGCTCCAAGCAGTGGCGCGAGTGGGTCAAGCACGCTGTGGCCAACAGCGGAGGGTAGGCTCACAAGTACAGTCAGGTGCCGTTAGGATGGGTCCCAGAGGCCCCAGCGAACAGCAAGAAGTCTGACCCCCCGGGAGCCCATAAGCCACCGAGGTCAACCACTATCTTCTTGCTCGTACCGCGGTCAAGCACAAGTATAATGTGATTCGGCTGCGTTTGAAGTTAAGCTTGTATCGCGGGGAACGGATCATCAGCATTCTAGGCGTGTGCGCCCAGGCGGCTGTTGTCGACCAAGGGATTCTGGCAGGATGCAATGAAGCAACCAGTCTGCTCAGTTGCTTGCAGCTGGACCTTTTGGACAGTACTAAGGAGTACTTCGGGAGTGTTGGGGTATACGATGTGGTGGATGGTACCACTCTTCAGTCTTCGGGGCACAGCCCATAGGTCGAGGTCAGGCTGCCGCGCGCTGATGTTTACCTTTTTGCACGCTCTTGGAGAGGCCTTTGTTGGTGATATATCAGTCCAAAGGCCAGGTCTTGGCCACGCATGCTAGTATGAGGCAGGTGATGATCGTCGAGAACCTGCAGACATGGCACTCTGAAGGGGCCCTCTCTGGACGCAACCTGGGATGTGAACAGGCTCTGGCCAGGAGGGGGTCCGAGGGCCCAAAAGGTGCTGCAGGCTCGGTTTTGGAAGCTTCGTGGGGCGCCGTGGGAAGATTGGAAGCCCCAAGAACCCCAACGAAGGGATGATGAGGGTCGCTCGATCAGGGTTGAGCAGGGACCGACCGTCGCGGCATTCCTATAGTCCTACCACGAAATGTTCTTAGAACCCAAACATGTTCGAATAACAAAAAGTACGCTACCGAGGAACCCCACATACATATATTATGGCTGGAGTGATGATAGCTGAAGTGAAGCATACGAAAATGATGTGCGTGGCCGTTGCCCCGCCGATACCGTTGGTGACGCCACTCAAGAGAAGAGGTGGAAGAGGAGGAGCGCCGCGCCAGCCACACTTTGCGAACCCAAAACAGATAGCGGCCGCACCCCCAAGGCACCCCCTTGCGGCGCCGAGAAAGTGCCACGCCCGCCACGCTTTGCGAAACCGAAACGGATAGCGACCGCACCCCTGGCGCACCCCTTTGGCATCGAGAAAGTACCGCGCCTGCCACGCCTTGCGAACCCGAAACGGATAGCGACCGTACCCTCAGCGCACCCCCTTGTGGCGTCGAAGAAGTGTCACGCCTGCCACGCTCTGCGAGCCCCAAACGGATAGCGACCGCACCCCCGGCGCACTCCCTTCGGCGTCGCGAAAGTGCCACGCCTGCCACGCCTTGCGAGCCCAGAACGGATAGCGACCGCACCCCCAGCGCACCCCCTGTGGCGTCGAGAAAGTGCCACGCCTGCCAACGCTTTGCGAAGCCGAAACGGGTAGCGACCGCAACCCCGGCGCACCCCCTGTGGCATCGAGAAAGTACAGCGCCTGCCACGCGTTGCGAGCCCGAAACGGATAGCGACCGTACCC